CTTGAAAGATAACAGCTCTTTGCTCACTGTACTGCATTGTTGTTGTGTACCATGGAACTTGCAGTCTAAATCGTCTGTATGCTTCGATTTGCCCTGCATTGATGGTCTTTGTTAGAGGACTGAATAGGGAGGGTGTGTCTCAAACTGACCCCTTGCTTCCTGTATGTGTAGTAAACAAACTGAGGATATTGTGCAGGCGTCCCAATGTAGAAATGATCCGAGGGCAATTGTCCCCTATTAACATCCCCAGTGCACCTCAAAATGAAGAGGGCCAATGTGTGCCCTAAACCAATTACACCACAAATCCAAGTACATAATACATTTTAATGTTTTTTAAAAGACATAAACAAAAACTGGATATTTACATCCCTAGAGTGTTCAGAGCCTAGATATTTACAAGGATTGACATTAAGAGATAAAGATTGTATATATTTAGATATATACATCCACACACACACACACACACACACACACATATATATATATATATATAGATAGATAGATAGATATCTATATAGATAAAGATTGTATATGTTCAGATAAGCTAAATACAATATCATCATTTATTTAAAATTTATACTTGTGAAAATAATAGTTAACTTTTTTTTCGATGTAGTTTTTTAAGTGAAGTTGAAAGATTTAAATTTAAAAAGAGTTTAATGTTTAAATTGAAAAACTTTATTCAAAAATTCAGAATATCATTGTGGAACATTAAGAATTGTCACTACCGAAACACATTTTCAAATATTTTCTGCAAAAATCAACTTTTTTGTGTTTTAATGAAAAATGTTACGATTTGTGTGTAAACTGTTCAAAGCAGTGTTTGCCAGTCATGCACTGTCTAGCCTTTCTGAGTTATACTCAAAATTAGCTAAAATCGTCACTACTGAAACAATCACTACCGAAACAGTCACTACTGAAACATTTGGTAAAGTTTCGGTAGTGTTTTGACTGTTTCAGTAGTGACGATCTTAGCTAATTTTGAACATAAATAAATGTTAATTAAAATGATGAATTTTTACATCACTACAGGGAGGCCTTTCAAATAACTAAGATGGAGCATTCTACACTACAAATGAAATCAAATCAAATCTTTAGCAGAAATACGTCATCGGTGAAACATCGAGCAGTGCGGTTGTCGTCATTCAGGTGTAGACAATTATGACAAAAGTGAAAAAAAACAAGAAAAGCGTTTATCTCTACACAAAATGTTTTATTAGATTGCATGAATGTAGGAAAATAGTCATGCAGGCCAGTGTGCAAATTATTGACAGCAATGAGTTACATAGATCAAATAGAAATGTGTAGAAAAGAGTTACAGTATATCTAAAGGTAATTTGTAAGGATCAGGGTAAAATGTTAGTTCAAATCCAACATGTGCTCTGCATGGAGACTCAAAAGATTATACTGTATCATGCACATCCATGATACAAAAGTATTTGTGCATTAATTGTGCAAAATCCCACTTTTAGGGTGAAACACACACCATTATAAAAATCAATCTAATATAAACATATTAGACACATTTTCAATTTAAACATTCTTTTAAAGCAGTTATTAATATTTGGCTACAATCATTAAATCAGTAAAGTGATTGAACTTTCAGAAAAAAAATCAGCATACAGAAAGAAACCAGCTGATAATTATAAGATAAAAACTGCAGAAATTTCTAAAGGACACTTTTAGAATGCACAACACAAGGAGGTCGTCTCCTACAATGCTGTTATGATGGCCACACCAAAGGGGTTTATGGTAGTACTCAAATTACTGATATATAACCAGCCTAAACAGCCATCTCCCCTATAAAATTTTGTACGTGTGTTAAATTATTCAAACATGAACACTGGAACGTCACTAACTGATTGACTTTTTTTAGGGCTGGCCCAAACAGCGTTTACACACTTTGAATACTTGTTCCAACTTCCAAGCTTGAATAGCTGTTTTCATAATCACCTTTTAAAACAATCATTTTTACAGTTCATAATTAACTATAATTTTAAGAATGTTTGTTACTGCAGTTTAAAATGTGACCAGTAGGCGGGAAAATGTATGAACTGTGAAGCGCAAATGAACCGAAATTAGCACTGATATTAAGGCCGTCACATACCAAACGTGACGGTAATGAACAACACGAACGTGAAATATTTAGACACCTTTTTTGGCGTTGTGTAGTGCTTTTGGCCCCGCGACAAAAATAAAAAAGCGGAATGTCAAGGGCAGAAAGATCCTTTGCTACTCACAAAACAGGCGTACGGTGACGCTGGGTGGGCCACTTTCTGTTTCTGAGGGCCTACACACATAACTCTGGGGGCCGTTTAAGTCCGTCATCTGAGTAAATTGCATGAATAAATTGTGCTCTGTGTGTAATCCTGAATTCACACCAGACACGTCACATCGGCATCACTGTGTTTACATGCACTCAATAACCCAATCATAATCAGATTTCTGCAGTTATCTGATTATTCGAATGGTCATGTAAACAGCATACTCTGATTTCTTAGATCGGAGTAAGGTCTAGAAACCCGATTAAGAAATCTGATGAAGAGAGCTGGATTTTAGCTCAGTAATCAGATTTCAGTGCATGTGAACTCTTACTCTGATTTCTTTCAGATTTCTCTGTCTGCGCATGTGCGAAACAGAAGGCGGTACCTGAAATAAGTAAACAGTGTTGCTGTGAGATGGCAGGAAAACAATTTTGGTGCGATGCTGAAACCAACTACATGCGTGACGAAGTGAAGGATTTAAATATTCTTCATCTTCTGGATGATGTATGTTCATGTTTTCAGGTGAAGTGGCGCGAGGTAAGCCACAGCATGAAGTTTGAGTTTAACATTACGTTTATGTCACGTCTTCTCCTGAGAGTTTATTGTCTGGTTTCAAAGCAGAAATCCAATTTTGTCTGACTCATTTTCCCCCATTATCTGATTACTCAAGTGCATGTAAACGCATTGATCAGATTACTGACCAAATCTGATTTTCAGTTATCGGATTATTAAGTGCATGTTAACACACTCATAACTTTTAAGCACTCATTGCTCTGGTGCGGCAACACCCCATTTTCTTTCTGGCCACACAGTGCACAGTGGGTCCGGTGCATTGGATTTAGGGCATGTGGTGTGTTAAAAAAGTTAAGCAGAGCCAAAGACTATATGCAAATGATTCTGACCAACACAATGTTCATCCAATCAGGAGGCAGTTGGTGTTTGCATAATTCAGCTCAATGTACAAAACACATTTTTTTAAGCTTTTCTACACTTTTCAAACATTCCACAAGACACGGAAGAACAGCAGCAAAAGCTCATAAATTTGAGCAACTCCAAAATGTACAATCTAACAGGGAAAATGCTAATAAATATTAAAGATAATAATAAAAATAAGGATGTTAATGAACTGATTTTGACTGCAAGTGGTAAGCAATGACCTGATCTCTAACATGTTCAAGTTTAACCTCATCAATGTTGTGGAAAATATTACTTTAATGACGCATACTATAATAACTGATTGTTCAAAAAAGTAAAATAAATAATTATGTAAATATTGACTTAGCAAGACTACAATTTGACTGGATTTTGCAGGGAACGCTCCTTTAAACAGCCACAGCCAGCTGAAGAGGGATGATGCATTCACACCCATCACTGTGCCCGAACAGCGCAAACACTGCGCAAGTGAAGCACTAGCTATCGTTCAATCCGCATCTGACTCAGCTCAGTTATGTATCTGTTTCAGGCAGGATTATCAGCTCTTTTCACCGTTTTTTTACCAGTTTATCAGAGGAGTCTCCTCATACACTGTTAGTACAGCGCAGGAGCTGCTCTTAAACTATCACATCACCAAGATCATCACATTTTAGTAAATTATTATTTTAGATATAGTTTAGAACATTGTGGACAGTGGAACTGTGTAGTTTGACTGAATCTTAAAGTGGCCTACCAAGCAGTACTCAGGTAATTTTGCACTGAGCATTTTAATCATGCCATAATTTAAAGCGCTTCCACATGTGACTTCTTTCTAAGGCATCTCTGCTCTTTTAGTTTCTATCATAATGTGTAAACCGTGCAGTCTGTTGTGCTCGTGAGCCGAGGTGACGAGGATCCCTGGCATGAATGCGCTCCAGCAAACCAGCTCCGTTGTATCTAAAGGCCTTTGCTGTTGAAATTTATTGCAGTTCAATATTGCAGGCTCCAATTTTTGTGGCTTAAAAACGACAAAGCTTCTGAATTCAGAACAAAAACCAACATAACCAGCGAATACTCCAGTATTCGTATTATTCGGGCCAGCCCTAACTTTGTTAGTTCACATGTTCAAACTAATATGATTGAAGGCCTTTCACACATGAAAGCTACATCTATCTGCTCCCAGTCTAAGTTCTAGTAATTAAAATGAAATGATATGCACTGAAAAGGAAAGAGTGATTTCTGTTTTACTGTGAGGAATTAAATCACTGCTACAGATTGCTATTGCAAAGGTATAAGCAAAAGGGGGCATTAATATTTCCCTCAGAGGCAACTCCCGCTGACTGTGTGAACTGTACTGACCTCAGCAGTGGATGAAACCTTGTCAAAACCAAACAGAAGAGAAAACATTCACGGGTCACTGTTGCAATGCCTCATTGTCATTCACAAAATCGTTCAGAGGTCAAACCACTCGATAAAAAAGATAGTGGTTATGATACTGACAGAGTTTGAAGGTTTTTTTTTCCCTTAAAAAGGTTTTACTTTGTACAAACATGGCACAAAGTAAAAACTACAGCACTAACTAACATTTTATCAGCATTGTGAGGACTTTCAGTGATGCACCGAAATGAAAATTCTTGGCCAAAATTCAGGACATGCTGGACCGAGAACCAAAAGAGCTGACAATGAATAAAATAAACATAAAATTATTTCAGTATGTGCCATGAACGCCGGTGTCCTTAACAACAGAGATCGGCTGGTCATCCAAGGCAATTAATTATTTTATTTACTTCGGTTATCTTTCCACTTTGGCACTACTGTTTTTTGATCATTTGATCATTTTAATTTAATTTGGTGCATTCTTGGTGTATTGAGTGAGGTCATGTTTTCAAGTGGTATCAAACCTGTAGTGGAGAAGTTTCTGGGTGTTGTAAACCCTCTTAATACTCATATAATGTGTTAAGAGGGTTGTAAAACGCATTTCAAACTCATAAAAGTGATACAAATTCAAAAACACTTCCATGAACACGCTGATTCCAGAGCTACATTTTACAAACATGCTGTGAATACAGAAAACACATGCAACTTCCAGTCACAACACAATGGAAGTGAGCCGCAAAACAGAAGTGTTTCTGGAAGATTCTCAAAGAGCATGGAATATCTGGAATATCCATGAGGGAAATCACTGACAGAAGTTAATAAGGGCTCCTGAGTGTGCAAGCACTGGCTTTACCATCAGGAGATCGCAAGTTCAATCCCTGGTGATGCTACAGGCAGTTATCAGTCATATCTGGTACTGCTATTTTAAATTTCTACAGTTAACTCCCATTACGATACAGTGATATTAGTTATCTGTTCAAATAAAAGTTATAAAAATTATTTTTACAGGTGAATGTTTTTGCTAATTAGAATTTAAAAGTTTAGATTCTTCATCCTCTTTCAGTTTCCCTCCCGAAACATCTCCTATGTGTTGTGAGGGCAATTCTGAAGAATGCGTTTTCTATATTTGCAGCGCGTTTGTGAAATGCAGCCCTGGTGCAGTCATTCTGATGAAAGTGTTCTCGTGATTGTAGTTCATTTTTTATTGTACAGTGCGGTGGATCTTGTCGGTCACTGAGTTCTTGGAATGAACAGAGATTATAAATCGATTGTCTAATGTCTCTGTGAAATAGTTCTAAGAGGCCAGATTTTCACTGTTTATTTGCTGCTGCTCAAACTGTTTTAATGCATCTGGGCTGACTGGTGCAATCAATGCAATCAACGTTTGTATTTTCTTTAACATTACAAATTATTTGTGAAGTTATGAAGATTCTGACACTTTGTTGTAGGCATATTTAGTCTTTTTTAGTCACAAATTTCACTCTTTCTTCCCTTTTAGCCTGAAACCGAAAGTGTCATTTTTTACCATCTTGGCCAAAAGTTTTCAGTGGACAAATTTTCGGCGCATCCCTAGTAGAGGTGGACAGGCTCCAAAAGTAAAAATCCTTCTCCACCTTTCCTCTATGATTAGCTCAAACCAGCAGTACAGGTGTCCAAGCAATTGGAACACAATCCTGGTGAGGATTTTATTTTCTGGGCCTGAATTTTCCACCTGTGATCCCTATTAACTATTATTAAAGTGAACAGTACTACTACATACACAGTTTCAGTCACTGATCCAACAGCAGCCCTTTCTCATATTAATCTCTACACTGCTCACACACACACACACACACACTGCTGCCTAGGTGCCAGAGAGTTTGAGAGAATTCTGCAGAGAATTGCAATAACAAGGGATGGAGCTGCTTTCATGGGTGCTTTCATCATCCGCCGCACCTGGAAGAGCTGGCAGCTGCCTTATGCCCCCCCCCTGCATCCCCCCCGCCATCGCCTCTAACGCACACAAACACACACAGTCTAGGACGTTAAGCTTCAAACACTCGCACACAGACAAAAGAAAAAAAAAAACACATGACACACAAATTCACACATGCACAAACATGCATGGAACTCACAGCTTGGGAAGGCCTCTACTGTCTACACCTGAACTACGATTATTCACTCCAGATTCTTCACCAACCCCCACAGACACACTCGCTCACTCTCGCACACCCTCGCCCTCAGCTGGCCTTGAACGCGTCTCTGTCACCTGGCAGCAAATCACTCCATAAGGCTTTTTTCCTGTTCAGCAGGGAACACATCTCTCTCCTCCCTCTCTTCCTGCTGTTGCTGCACCCTCTGTCCCATCTCCTCCTCCTCCTCCTCCTCCTCTCGCTCCCCGGGGCTCACCAGCCTGCTGTCTTCCCCCAGAATGCTGCACAGCTCGGCCAGACGCTGCTGCATTTTGGGGATGCCCGAGAGCTGCGTCTCCAACCGCAATTTCTCGTCCTGCAGAGACAGACGGGTGGACGCGTCCAGCTTTTCAAAGCGCCAGCCACCCTCTCCATCGAACTGCAGCAGGTGGGTGTGGTACTTCCTGCAGGCAGCAGAGGAGCAAAACAGATGCATGGTTAACATAAGCTATTAATAATAATAATAATAATAATAATAATAATAATAATAATGGAGCATGAATATACAATTAATATAATAACAGAACATTTCAAACCATTGTCAGCAATTTTCCCTTAAAAAAATAATAATATAAATTATTATTACTATTATTATTATTAATAATATGTCATTATAATTATTATTATTAATAATAATAATAATTGCATTTATGTTGCTATTATTAATGATAATTAATAACAACAATATTGTAAATATTATTAATATATGTATTATTATTAGCAACAATAATAGAAATAATGATAATTAAACATGTAATTTTTTATTAATATAATAATCGAACATTTCCAAACCATTGTCATCAATTTTCCCTTAAAAATAATACGAATTATTATTATTAATAATAATGTAAGTCCCATGAATATATGTATTATTATTAACAACAACAACAACATTAATAATAGTATTACTAGTAATTAAATGTTTAATTGTCTTCTAATAATTACAATTTTCCTTAATTCATTCATTCATTACTAAGAATATTCACATCAGGGTCAAGTTCTATACATCTGTATTACTATCTGATCATACAAGCACAGAATGAACTCCTTTGCTATGTAGCGCCCTCACATGGCCAAAGTCTGGTTCCTCTTACATACAGTGCAACTACACCTGAACTACCTTTACCTTCTTGTCCAGCAGGTTAAGAGTCATGCTGGGTAATCACACGACCAAAGACTCACCAGAGAGATGGACGGTGTGTAATTGAGAGAAGTGCAATCCCAGCATCCTTTGCAGCTTCAAAGATTTTGCCCTCCACGTCGATGCTAACAGCGCTGGTACATTCGTCCAGGAGAGCGTATTTAGGCCTGGAAGAAACCAGACGGTCGGTCAACATAAAGCACATGACACCTCTCAGATCAAACAAACCTGGTAACGCTACATCCGTCTGATGCCACGGGAGGCTGTTCAAACATTTCTTAGCACTTAGCATGTTGGCAAAATTCCCCCAGTGTTTTGAGCCGCGTGGTTTGGTAAATATGAGGTAAGCTCTGAAGTTAGCTGCGGGTTTCATTCTTTGAAGTGTAAAACATTTACTGCAGCTTTGAACGAGGCTTTATTTGTTATGAAGCTGCAGTAATTGCTCACTTGTGGTAGAACATCCTGGCCATGCCCATTCTCTGCTTCTCTCCTCCGGACAAGACGTCCTTCCAGTCACTCTCTGCGTCCCAACCTACCACACACATGAAGTTTAAGTCACCTCAGTCAAGTTACAGCATAAACAATGTGACTAATTACTTAAGTTTGCTTTCAGTTTAAAACAGTGTTAAAATACACAAACATGACATACAGTAGCACCAACAAAAACAGCCAAGCTATAACAAAGCAAAAGCACTGGAAATTTCTATTAAACATAATTTGATGATTTATGAATAAAGAATTAATTAGCATTTCATACTCAATTCATTTTTTCCAAAGTGGTTTGCCTGGTCAGTGTTTGAGCTTGTTCTCTGACCTACATCTCATTCAAACGGCATATGAAATGTGTGAGCAATATGGTCCAGGATAAAGTATTTGTGTAATTTCCCCAAATTCCCAGACTGCAAGATCATAGCCTGGATGCTCATATCAGTGTTATGCCACGGTACACCCTCAACAACAAGGACAGCACAACACACGTCCATGTCTATTATGAGGTTTTGTTATTCACACCACAATTATTACTGCCAGATTGTACAGCTACATATACTGCAGATTCATACTGGATTAAAATCACTCCATAACTATTACTGTCAGACTGTAAAACTACACACACTGCAGATTCATACTGGATTAAAATCGCTCCACAATTATTACTGTCAGACTGTAAAACTACACACACTGCAGATTCACACTGGATTAAAATCACTCCACAATTATTACTGTCAGTCTGTAAAAACAACACACACTGCAGATTTATACTGGATTAAAATCACTCCACAATTATTACTGTCAGACTGTAAAAACTAAACACACTGCAGATTCACACTGGATTAAAATCAGTGCACTATGAATAATGTCAAAAAGTAGATGTAGATGCAAAAATTAGATTAATATGCAGATTCATACTGGATAAAAAAAATCTTGTTAGTAACCACTGAAATTTAGACCCTTCCCAGGTAATTTAATTCAGCTCCAATAATGAAAGCTGCTGTGGTGAAAGTGCATGCTCACCTCCCTCCCTCTCCAGGATGTACAGGAGGTTGACAGTGCGGAGGATTCCCTCCAGCTGCTGGTCAGTGAAGCCTCTCTCCTTCATCTCCTGAGCCGTGTCAGGGTAAATGACCTGGTCCCGCAAAGTGCCCACTGACATATACGGCCTGCACCGACACATGAGTTACAAAAGAAAACAGACAGAAAGAAAGACAAAAAGAAAGAATAAACTAATTAACGACTGATTGATGAATGAAAGTAAATTGTACCAGAAACTTTTCATGCAATTCAAATTTAGCCACATCTAAAGCAATGCATTCTATTTTAGATGCCCTGACCAGATTAAATAAGCACAATAACATGAATAAATGAAAGCTTTTAAAATCTCAAAATGATCTGTTTTTTAATTATAAGCCAGTATTTTAATTTACAGTATATTTTAGTTGGTGCATCTGATTGCAACTCACCACGTTCACGGTAACACAAGATAATGTAAATTCTTTCCGCCCTGGCCCAGCCCACCACTCTTCAACAGTCTCAATATAACAACGCGTTGAGATGTTCGCTGACCTGTGATGGGCCTGAATGCACTACAGCTGTTGGGCTTAATTGATGTATTGTGAGGCCTATTCTGCTGCTGCTGTTGCTAGTGTAATCTCTTTCACTCGTTCAATGAGGCTATCGCGTCAAACACGAGCACTGCAGGGCCATCTGGACCCACTGCTTTCAGAACCTGCTCTCCTTATTAATCACCACACTCATCAGCGCTAATTAGCTTAGCAGGGCATGAAATGAGAATGAAAGCAGGCCCTTTTTCTCTCACTCTCTCTCTCCCATACACAAACACGCCTAACTTCTAAGCAGATGGAGGTCATTTTAGTGGTTAAATAAAATTAAACCCAAAGTAGCAACCATGCTGTACGACCAGCTTTCCAAACTGAGACTCTAATCCCTTAAGGAGGCAACACTGACATTCAGAATTCTTAACCTACACCCAAGCAATTATAATGATATCAGTATTAATTAATTAACTATACCAACTGCAAATTCGTTACTATTAATTAATGCTCTTATTTCAATTACTTTATTAATTAATAAAGCATCACTACATAATTGAATGTTACTATAATCAGCTATTATATTTCTATCCCTGTCTTGCCAGCGTTTGCTGCACAGCCTGTACCTCTGAGGGATGTAGAACATGTGCTGAGGTGGAGGTTTGTAGAGCACTCCGCTGTAGACGGGCCACAGGCCGCTCAGGATCCGGAACATGGAGCTCTTCCCACAGCCATTCGGCCCTGTGATTAAAAGGTGCATTCCTTCATCGACCTGAGAGAAAAAAGCCAGAACAAATGAAATGAGTGGATGAAAAATATATTCGTAATTATGTGCAAATTGCAGTAGGTCAGCAGGTGAGTAGTGACAAGTAGAAGTGACCAGTAGAACCTTAAGAACCAGTATCAACTAACATATCTACACTCCACCCACAACTGCAATCTTATTGCCAAGTTGGACAAGCTTTTTGAAACACTGGCAAAAATGATGTACAAAGGGGACGAGTCACACTGTCAAATAGTGCAGATCAAACTTCCAACCATCCATATAAACATTCAGAATAAAAATCATGATATTTCGTGTGGTAGTTCTAGAGATACTGAACTGTTATTCCTGAACCTATGAAGCTTGATTCCTACATCTCCAGAGTTCCTCTGCATTGTAACAGTTGATAGAGGCCACTCCCCCAATCTCCAGTTAGCAATGCAACTTTAGTTAGGACAGGGGTCAGCAAAACCCAAATGTTAAGAAGAGCCATTAGGTCCTTTCAATAAAAATCAAACCACCTTGGGAGCCACAACATTTTACGTCCATTTTACCATCTTGGCTGTAAATATGTACCAGTATGTGTTAATGTACTAGTATAGGCTAAAATATTTAACATAAACTAAAACGCAGACTTACTTTGCTCTGCTTTAAGCTTTAGCTCAGCTATAGTGGCTTTTCACGCATCTCCAACAGGAAACTTTTTCCGCAAGAGTAGAATTTTTTTTGTAAAATGTCTCTCAACATTCAGCTTTTTATGAGGCTGAAGTCGCTTCTCATTCACCAGCTTCTTGTTCGAATTTTCCCGTTCCACCTTAAATGGTGCCTGAGGCGCCAGAATGTAACTGCTGCACCATTTAAGGTGGAATGGGAAAATTCAAACAAGAAACTGGCGAATGAGAACTTCAGCTTCGTGACTTTTTAGTGTTTGACAGTTTCTCGTTGCAGATTAAACATATCAGGAAACCAGCTGAGGTGATTATAAATGCAAATAAGTCAATTCAGCAGTGAATTTTGTATATCAGCAGTGATATACAAAATTCTCATTAGAGTATATATATATATATATATATATATATATATATATATTTGCTGCTATTTTTCCTCCATTCATTAAACCAAATATTCGTTCAGAACTTATGAATATTCAAATATTTTAATTAATTGGAAAGCACATTCCCTGAATATAATGGCTTTATTTTGGGCCAGTACACATTCCATTGAGCTTCTTAGTAATATGTAGTCATAACGAACCCAGTTTTCCTGAGTTTTACAATTCCATCTGGGTTTGGTACAATTTCACAGTGAAACTGAATGACTGTGCACACTATATTTGAAGCAAGAATTCCATTGTAGGGATCATTTGATTTACTAGAAGAAAATGATTTGAAACATGCTCATTCTTCTTTCCAATTACACTGGTGTCACTATCTGTCCAGCTAATACTTCTGTCTGGAAATTGTTGCCACGGTTCGACAAACTCCTCCAGCACTTTTCCCTGTATTGTTGTCAGGGGGAGGCATGGCTGCACTGCTGTTTTAGACTGTCTCAAAGGGCATTATGGGTAACAGCTATCGAGTCATGGGTTGCCACATGACTGCTTTATGAAAGCGGTGGGAGGGTATTAGTGGTGGGATCTCCTTAGTGCCTCAGCGGAACAGCACGTCATTGCGGGTGCGCTGTCTGTACGAGCAGAGCTGATGGCAGAGAGGAATAATCAACACATTGTTCCTGGCAAAGCGGCAGGGGGCCGGGGGGCAACGGGCCATGGAGCGCACAGCCCGTTTCCCAGAATTTAACAGGAAACATGAATTAATCATGAGGGGTCTGCTGTAGAACAGACTTACATCAGACACATACAGCCAGACTGCAAAGAATAATGATGCTGAGTTCAGACTTTTTAAAACCTTTGGGGGTGTTCAAATCTGATGCAACCAAAGAACTGGGTTTAAATTAGGAAGGTATGGGATTATGGTAGTGTTGAATTTGATTGGTTTTTGAGAAACCTGACAATCACTAATTCCTAATTTTGCTTCCCAAAGAAAGAGGAAACTGTTGTCAAGGCCAATTACTACAAACACTACACTGCAATCAGCTGATACAGGACGTGATCCTGTCTGAAGAGGGAGGAACTGGTCTTCCGTTACATCAGCATTAAAGCTGTTAAAGTGAATGAGTTAATGGCATGTTAATGTGATAAATTATTAAAAGCCCAAATTTGCTAATGCATTTTCCTAGTTTGACCTCTTAAAGCATCCGCAGTACAGTAAAGCTGAAGCCCAGCTGCTATAGATGCTAGAATCCTTGATTGTAGCCTTCTCTTTCAAATATAGGTTTTACATGGCTTTTAAGGTTCAGCACCTTCAGCATCTTTGGCAGATTACACTGGAGAGTGCTTGTGGGAGACCTATGGATAAATCAACAAGCAACAAACCAATAAAAGAAGGAGCAAAGTGGAGCTCCAGTTCCCCTTTCCTCGATACTGGGGCTGAACAATACAGGCACAGAATGTGATGTTCGATAAAGGTCATGATCACAATATAAAAAAGTGTCCTCATGAGAATAAATTATTATTACAACAGTGCGCCTCGACTGGATGTGACTTTTTTATATGTAAGCAGAAATGTAACTAACCTCTTTATTAAGCAAATAGCAAAATATAAAACTACAAAAGCACCATAATAAAATAATTTTGTGCACTGAAAGGCTGAGAAACAGTCAGTACTGCCTCAACAGCCTTTTCTATAAAGGCTACAAAACACATAAATGTAGAATTACTTTTTATATAGACACACAAGTACAACTAAATATTTTGTTTAATTCTTTTTTTAACTCATTAAACATGTTTGTTGTCACAGTAGCCATTGCTGCCTCGCTCACTTAAAAGACAGCACTATGTGTGAGAACAATCCCAAAGTTTGAGGCATTTTAACAGGCTTGTAGATCTGGACGGAGTCATTTTTGAGCTGTGCTTGTGTGTGTTTTGTTATTTGCTGTTTAGCCTAATGGTTAAGTTACTTTTCAATTTAATGACATCTCTGACACTGCGTGCATGAGGTAATTTGATCTGTTCTGTTACTGCAGCTCTTAACAATGTGTTTATCATGGAAACTCATATCACGATTACAACAAAAATACGATTTATCATGCAGCCCTAATATGCACACTCATTGGTTGGAACAAGCAACCACTGTTGCTCTCGCTGGACGTAGGTGATGAAAATTAGAAACTGTGTTCACTCTGTGGACATCATGTGATTTTCATGTTCACATGATGAAAAAGTTTTTGAACTACTACAAGTAATAAATACATTCTGAAGTCTATTCTGTCCTCATATAGCTATAATAAAATGTGCTGCTTCCTAAATGGTGAACATCTTTCTCTAGAGTCAAACTTAAGCAAAGAGACAAAATAGATTAATTGTGATAAAACTACACACAATAATGTGATTAATCCTGATTTATTTTCTACACCTATGACAGCCATAATTAGCATATTGCACAGTCACGGATCTCAGGCTTCTAAAGCTGTTAAGGAGATTCTTCATCCAGTGTACATTTTGCTCTATTCTAATTTCTACCACACCTGGGCCAGAATTTACTTATCTATGCTCTGATGACTGTCGCCAAGTTGAACAAGCTTAACAGCATATTGGCAAAAATGTCATTCAATCTAATGAGAAATAGAGCACACAGCTCAGTTTTTGTCAAAATACTGAAATTTATTGTACTTTATTTATTCCAAATAATATATTTATAAGTGCCTGAATGGTCAAACTGTTAAGAAGAGTTTCTTTTACAACACAGTACACATCAATATATCATTTTCAACCGGAAACTCAACACTATATAGCAAGTCTAAAGAAACAATGTGGCAGTCTGATGTGAATAATTTGGGTCTTTGAATTGTGCAGTATAATTTCTTATTAGGCAGAATTGTATTATTGTTGCCGTTCTATAAGGCCTGTGTAACATCGCAACAGTTTCTACAAAGAACTTATTTGTGGGCAGATGACAGAGAGGTTCATTCTATAAAATGTTCAAGCTGTAAAATAATCCTTCAGTACTGGACTTTTTCTCTGTGACCATTTGTTGGTAATAAACGGAAATAGTATGTGCTTATCATTATATAAACCTCCTTATGAGGCCACTTATCAAATTTCCCTTATCTTTGTTGATATACTGTCACAGTTCCAACACCTGCCTGCAAATGATATCTTCCCACAGAAAATCTGTCAAAAAAATGTTCTGAAAATGCGTTCAAACTCAAAACTGGCAATAAAGTCAAAAAACTTTTCAACAGCATGACAACCGTGACATTTCTTAATCAACACAGATAAAAATGCGCTCCTCAAGCTCTGACAAGTTTCTGGCATTAACCCACCAAACTTTTTTTGGCTTTAACCAACCAAACTGAACAGAAAAGGTAGTTATCAAGTCCAGTTGTGTAAGAGCAGGGGAACGCAGAGGTCACTCAGGGGTAGAGGGTACAAACACGACTTTGAATGTGCACAGTTTAAGAGGATTATGGGATATATGCCTACTGTATGTTAAACCAAGTCTTAAGGAGTTAACAAGTTCCAGCGTATTCATAGATCAATGTCTGATAATGCCCTGCAGTTGTGCAATTCTACTGGCACTCATAATATTAGCAAAGGACACAGAAAACTGGGCCAAACCCCGGACAGAAATCAGAAAAGATAACACAGATCCATAAACAACGTATTATACAAAACTCTGACTTATGACCTGTAAAAATATCAAGCTGAGAATGGCATGCTTTCCTAGTTCACTGCTCCTAAGCACTTTCACAGCTGCTCTGGATACATTGATCTCAATACAGCTCAATTTTTGTGCTGGTCACAGTGTTGGGTAATAATTCAGTTTGCTGGACAAGTCTGGTTAAAATTCTTGATTTGTGGAAATGCTGCACAAAACCTAAAAAATGTGTTGTCACTCATCAGTCAAACACATCTGATGTTTTGCATCAGTCATCAGTCAAATGTATCTAAGATTTGCCTTCTCTTGAGAAGCTTTACCCTAAAAACTAAAGGTAGTTTTAAACCAGAGCCCTGCAAAAGTGAGAGAATTACAATCCACACTCTGTGTTTTGTTGCAATGGATAGTGTGATCAGTATAAACATGCGTTGGCACTTGATGATAAATGATAAGATAAAGTCTATATAGACAACATCTCTAAGTAGATCTGTTAGCTGTTTAAACGAGGGCGTTAACTTACTGGGCCAACACTGACCTGATTTATTTCAGTAGAAATAGTCCTACATTAATGACAAAAAAGATGCATTTCTGCATCTAAGTTAAATGTCACAGCCTGTAGGGCAGCAGAGTTTAGGCTCCTTGAACTTGAGTGAAGCTTTGTCCACCGTTAAACGGTGGTAGTCCAGGGGTGTGTCACCACAGAATAATATGCATTCAAAGTTTATTGGTGAATATCTGTTTTACCGGACATTATGTTGGGTGGGATTTTAATTTGCCAGGTAAGTTTCCTGGCTAACGGAAAGCCTGAATAAAACGCTAACTTTCCTTAAACACAGAAAATATGGCCAGATGAAATTCTATATCTGTTATTTGACCAAGTACAAGATTATGAGGCTACTACATACAAGGTTATACACGCTATACTTTTATGTTTTCAGCGGTGAGTAATAATAGTCTTGTCTTTGCAAGTAAATAGTCTTTACAAGTATACATTAAGTTGAAAATTAATCAACAATAATTGAGCCCCTCCACATACATTCCCTTTTTTGGATTATCAGTTATTTTGTACCACCTTTTTACATTAAAAAGCCAGTTTATGCTTTATTTATGTTTTAATGACCCCTTTATTTTAAAAAAGCATAAAACAATGCTATACTATGCTTTTAAGAATTTTTATTAAAAAAAATGTCACATATACTGTTTTTCGTTGCAATTAAAATCAATAATAACTTACTCTGAATGCAAAAATCAGTCCTAGTTCTTACAGAAGGAGGAGAATGTTTTATATTATAACTGCTAGAAAACCAACAATGCAGGTGTGTACCTTGATGTTGAGGCTGGACACCACCACATCACCAGTGGGCGTTATAATGGGCAGGTTCTCACACCTGATGCCTTGCTCGACGTCAATCACTTGACCTGCACACACACAGATAAAAGTTAGGGATTAGACTTGTCAGCCTTTGATGCTGTAACTCAAAGAGGTAAGGGGTATAAAATCTGCAGCGATCAGTGTTTTCTCTCTTCTAATGCTGCAGTCATGACAACTGGGAACTTCAGATCAGAGCTTCCTACTTCACACAACTTCAACTGTTCAAAGTCGAAAAAAAAAAGTTTTCTTGTTTTTGGCTGCTGTGGGCCGATAATCAGTGCCAACATTTATAATTTCTCTGATAAGTTTCAAAATTCATCAACAACTACTATGAAACTAATATGCAACACTGAAATACACTGCATACAGCAGAACTCACCTCGAATGAGTAGGGGTCCCTCCACGCGCACACCATGTTTAACTTCCCGCGATCCCCCGCGCGCTGGTTCGCCCTGTACCTCCTCTACAGAGCGCCGAAACACCCCACCGCGCACTTCCTCAAACACATCAAACATCTCATACACACGCGCTGTGTAGCCAGCCAGCTCTGTCACCTGGAGAAGCCCACAAAAGAGAAGAAAAAAACGTTGTTAAAGCTTAAGGAAAGGGCATTCAGTGGGTATACAAGTGCTATAGCACCTATGCTATAAAGACCTTAAAGATTTCATTAAAGGACCCATATAAATGAAAACTGAATGCTTTTTTATTTCCTAAACAAAAAGAATCTGATGTAGTATTTTAACTTTGCCAACATAGATTGCAGTGTCTCACCTCCTTGTAGGAGCTCATAATCCTCTCCACAGCGTCGGCTCCTGCGTTCAGAAGGTTCCGTGCTGTGGTGAAGGCCTCCGTCCGCTCGCTCACCAGATCCTCTTCCTTCATCACCATCGCCGCCTGCTTCACATCCTCTGAATCTGAAAACAAAACATAAACAATACATAAGTAAGGGAGGAAAGAGAAACAGCATGAAAGGATGGCCAATCCCACGATGGAGGAATACACAGTACAAAGATCAAAACACAGATCAAAAGTGTGTATGTGTGGTTTTATGCGTGCATGAGCTTTAAAAATACATACAAACACAAAGACAGAAACAAAAAAAGGCTTTGCAAAGATCCTGCACCACAGAGGAAGCGTTAATGGAGAGGTACATTGAAGTACAGCACTTTGGACAGCACTGGTCATGGCAACTTATTCAGCAGAGCAGTATTATAATTCATATTAATAGTTCATAGTAATCTGAAATGGACTTATAACTGAAATAATGCTGTACATTCAGGCTCTGCATGACACATTGTACAGTGAGCCAGCACATAGCTGTCCCATTGGATTTTGAATTCTCAATGAATTAAGCTCTTAAATCATAATGGTATGTTCATGAGCCCATTCCTCAAATATTCACTTTCATAACCACAGCATTTAAATGTAAAATTTATTGTTGTTACCAAATAATTCGGAGTAGTTACGGAGCAATAAATACACCCTTAAAAGTGTACTTTAAGGGTTCTTTAGTAAAGGCAATGATTTAACACGTAAATGTTTTTTTTTTGCATTTGTACATGGTTCTGTTTTATGATAGTAAACCTTTTATATATGGTTATTTAAAGAATCTTTAAAATGGTTCTTCATAGCACCAAAAAGAGCTATGCTATTGTTAAGTCATAGAATCTTTATTTGGTACTACATAGAACCCTTTTTGCTAGGACTGTAGAATTTAAGGTGTTATGTCCTGGAATATTTCAGTTTTACTGGCCATTTCTGATGCCACCTGGAAATCTAACAAGACAATGTTTATTAAACCCTTAAATTCCCAGACTTATTACATACTAAGGCTTCCTATTCAGTAACTACAGGGACTTCAGTGCAAAGTGAATGAGCTATTCTTAGGTTGTAGAAGTGTGTAATAAAACTTTGGGCCTGCTGGTGGGCCCTGTCCCTTTAAGGGGTTAACAAACTTGTCCCAGTTGTACTGTATAAAGGGAATAACGAGGTGATGTTCTGAGCACGAACTGGATGTCAAATTGGATGAATGCTGATTTTTTTGTTTTTGGGCTAAATGAACACAGGAAAATCACTAGCAAATGTTCAGTACTTTCTATTAGCCAAATTCACAACATAAATAACAAACCTTTCTCTTTAATGGGCCAAATTAGCATTTTAATTTCAAAAATAAAAAATAAGCTGTCCATTTACGTAACATGAATGAGTGGCAAGTAAGAATCAACTGACTACTTAACACAATGAGTCACAAATAATTATGATGTGACACTTTGGTACAGATACAGCAGCAACATTCAAATACAGTGTGAGTGCACTTACCTGCCATCATTTACGTCATAAAACAACAACATAGATGGGCCGAAATCATAATAAATTGACTGACTGTTGCGTGTTTGGAGCAAAAGCTGCCACTTCTGATCTTAGTCATTTCCGATCGTGCATCCTTAGTATTATTTTATATTACACTGTATATATTGTATTAGGCATATATGCAAATGAGCGCTACAACCAGTGATTAATGTTTTATGTATGTGAGAATTCTAACAATCTTTGGACAAACGAGATTAGGGCTGAACGATTTGGGAAAAATATCTTATTGCAATTTTTCTGATCGATATTGCAACTGCAATTTAAAGTGTGATCATTTTTGTAAGTTGAAGTCCAGGCCTGTTATGTCGGCCAAGAAGACCAGAACATCCACTTTTTCTGGCTTGAGACTTGAACACTGAACACGCAAGACTGCCAGTTAGTTGTGGTTGTGATGCCATAGTATATAGTTGTTTGGTTGCTTCTGATTGGTCTAACTCATCTACAGGCAGTTTACAAGCTCTGATATTAGTTTAATATTCCCCAATTAAGACATTCTTAATAAAAAGTGACTATGTAATAGTCAAAAAAGTGACAACTGCAATATGTAGCCATATAATCGCAATATGCAATATGCTGCCCGTATCGTGCAGCCCTAGGTTGTAACACTTCGTGCATATAAAGATGAGCTTTGATGAGATCGTACCTTGTTGGGAGTAACCCGGGGCTGTGATGATGGGCACAGCAACCATGACGAGACCAGAGGCGCTCCACAGGTATTTCATGAGGAACTGCTCGAGCATGACGTACCACAGGCGCTTGAAAAGGATCAGGTTGATTTGCGAGCGCAGCGCATTGTAGCTCCGCTGCAGCTGCGACATCTCCACCTACGCAGGGCAGCCAGACAGGAGCGCACACACACCCGCACACACAGATACACACACACGCATACACAGCAAGAGAGCATCAAAGTGAGGATACAGGAATGAGTGTACTCACAGTCAGAGGCTTAAACTAGCAGCTCCTCACTTGTCCGTGTGTAGATTTAGGCTAGCTTTTCACAGGCTAACTTTTACTTTCATGAGCTTTTATTCAAGGAAAAAAAAATTTTCAAAGTGACATCTTTGGAAAGCAGAACTGACTTCTAATGTGTGTTAAAAGGCTGTGAGTGCTGAGGACTCAGAACAGCAGGGCACAGAAATCTGCCCCAATTCCAGGGCTTTCCCTTTGTTCCACACCACATGATGTTTCTTTGCACTAGGAACAGTAACTATTGCCTAAACACATGACCGAGCTACATGGACCCTGTTTGTTTAGGGGCCCCTGTGACCTCTTGCATGCTCAAAGGGGTGAATGTATTGAATGTACATGTATATCATTCCAGGACACGTAGGTCTAGACCAAGGGTCGGCTCTTTTACTGCCCTGTTGCGGCTCCACAGCAGAATTAGATTTTTTAGGTAAAAATAAAATACTCCTCCTTTACAGTAAAATAAAGATCTGCTGTTCATTCTAACATGTAGCCTACAACTGTTAATTCACCCTTATAACCATGAAGACTGGCGCGCAGACTGCTGGTCAGTCTCGCCTAGCTAGTAGCTAACAAAACGGCAAAGAGAAAGATTTAAGACGAACATCGATAATTTGGAGATCAATGGACTTATTTGCATTTATAATCACTCCAGCTGGTTACCTGATATGTTTAATCTGCAACGAGAAACACTAAAAAGTCACGAAGCTGAAATTTCTTGTTTGCCAGCTTCTTGTTCAAATTTTCCCGTTCCACCTTAAATGAAGGAGCACTTACACTCTGGCGCGTCAGGCGTCATTTAAGGTGGAATGGGGAAAGTCTGAACAAGAAGCCACGAATGAGAAGCGACTTCAGCCTTGTAAAAAATCGAATGTTAAGAGACATTTTACAACAAACTATTCTACTTTTGTGGAAAAGTTTCCTGCCAGAGATGTGAGAAAAGCAGCTATAGCTGAGCTAAAGCTTTAAGCAGAGTAAAGCAAGTCTGCGTTTTTATTTATACTAGTACATTGTCACACATTGAGACATATTTACAGCCAAGATGTTAAAATTGACATGAAATATTGTGGCTCACAAGACGGTTTGATTTTTGTTGAAAGGACAAAATCGCTCTTCTTAGAATTTGGGTTGCCGACCCCTGGCCTAGACTGTTAAATACCCACATCAAATGCAGATTTTTGACTGGTTAACATTGCAAAATGCATTTAAACATTTTAAATAAAATACAAAGAAATCTTGAAAGTCAGATATTCTGCACTGAAAACAGGTGCTGGATCTCACACTCTTGAGATGTTAGTCTCTTACATCTTGCATCTATGGGTTCAATGATGTTTAGATTAAATTAGTATTAAAGGAATAGTTTGAATCCTTTGAATAAATGAATTTATAGAAATTTCATCCATTTCATTTCATGCAGTTGATCAACCAAGACATGTTTGCTTCTATAGTTTTGCACTACACCTATGATGTTAATGTAGATAACAAGTCATAAAAGGTTTTAGTCACCAATTAGCACTGTGCAAGCTGCCTGCCTCAATTATCATCCTCTTACGTCAAACCACACTATGATCTACAGATCTATTGTACCATTATTAAACAAAATAGTAGCAGCAATCAAGTCTCAGCAGATTAACCATGTTTGTTTTAAGTCTGCGAGTGTGTAAATCTGATATCCCCCCAAACTATCCCCTTTAAAACTGCTGAAAATCCTTGGAAAGCGCAACAACAAGCAAACTACAGTCTTGTTACCTTGTGACCCCCGTAGAAGGCGATCTCTTCGGAGTTGGCAATGATGCGGGAATGCATGTACCTCAGGTCCCCTTTCCTCTTGGCCTCCTCAGCCACCAGCTTGCCAAAGCGGGGTGAGAACGCCCTCAGGATTTTGGCGGTGAGGGCCACCACGATGCCAGCAATGACCGAGGGCCATGTGGTGTTGGCGCCCTTGGACTTGGCCGTTTTTATGAGAGTGTAGCAGGTCATGACCACGTCCAGGATGGGCTTGGTGAGGTTGGAGTACAGGTGGGCCACGGAGCCGGCAAACATGACTATGTCCTCCGTCAGAGACTGGTCAGGGTTGGCCAGCCTCCCGTCCATGTTACTGACACGGTAGTAGGTCTGGTTGCTGAAGTAGAGCTGGTAGGCATAGGACACCAGCCTGGTGCGGAAGGCCAGGGTCAACTGGCCCTCCAGGTAACGGATAGCACTGTTCACAAAGGTAGCAGGGATGGCAATGAGCAGCCATTTGGTCAGCTCCCATACGAAGGCCTGGGGGTCTTTCTTGACTATGGTCTTCACTATTTTACCATCTAGGTTGGCCACATAAATGGACAGAAATGTGCGTGAAACTAGGGCCACCGAGTGGAAGCCCAGCAGCCCGAGTTCTTTGCAGAAGATCCGCGGGAAGAGGATGCGCAGGAGGCGGATCAGGCGCTCCAGAAACTCGCGGTTAACTGCCGGTGAGGTCCTCTTCTTTCTCCGCCTCTCCGTCACTGCCAGCGGCTCTCCGTTCGTCTGCGGCAAGTGTGGACTTGAAGGTCCTCGCTTGAGCCTCCCAGAAACGTACGGATAAAGCTTTTTCAACCCATAAGCGGCGACCAGAAGAAAAACCGCTTTTCTCGCCACGGAAGGCCTCTTCAGCTGTGAGGGCAGTTTGGAATAAACTACAGACATTTTTGCTCTGGGTTGCTGTTGCTGAGAGTGTGTTTAGAGGAAAGTGTCCAGTGTGTCCTGACGAATACTATTGAATAACCTTATTCTAACCCTAACCCTTATATATGCAGATAGTTCAGCATAGCCAGCTAAGCTCTATACTATCTAATGTAATGTAAATTAGTGGCTTCAGTAGCTGCGATTCTACTTGATGTCCATCGCAAACCCGAGAAAAAAAGACTCCCCTCAACTCCAATTTAAACAAACTGTATTTCACAGTACACTAACTTAGCACTGCAAGTTAGTTAACTTTACAAAAACTATGTTTTATGTTAGCGAGCTAGAAAAAAATGTAAGAATTTCATGACCTTCCGTGTTATTTCACAACTTAATCTAACGTTAAGTTAGCTTGCTAAGTAAACCGGCTCCCATAAACTGAATAGGAGATATCTATAAGGCTAGGCTAAACAGGACGCTAGCAGCTTTTTAACTGTCAAAATATACTAATTTTGTCGTTTCTTGCTGAGGTAGACTATTACGAGCCCTTCGACTTCAGTAAACCAGCTGCCTGTGAGCTAGCTAGCTAACCTAGCAGCCCAATAGAAAAGAAGTAGAAAAAAGGCTAGGCTAAGCTAAGCTAGCTAACCTTAGGCAAGAAGAGTGCAACAACAACAGCAACGGGACAGAGCGCGTATGCTCTACGCAAAACTAGACAGCAAAACAATGAAAACTAAACAGTTAGAGAGATAAACTGTATATTGACCGAAGGATTAAGCATTGTCAGCCTCCGCTGAGCCATCCAGGAGCATTAATTCGTACTTATAGTCGAGTAAACCTTCAGCTAACGTAGCTTACATGGTTCAGGTTCAAGTAACTATGCAAGAACTTCCTCGGACTGTCCGCCTGTAGTTTTGAGCAAACGTGAAGTTGCAGCGCAACTTATCTTATCGCTTTTTGCTGGTCCCAAACCGACTAAAGATCATCCTCAGGAGAGATCTGGGGTATGAATGGCTGTAATAAACGTGTGCGGCGAAAGTCTTTCTTCGGGATCCATGTTTGAGCTGCCCTCCCTGTTTCTTCGTGGAAGTCCATGTGTTTACACCGGGCTCGTATAGCCTGAGGGTCAGACTAGTGTTTTTGCCCAATAGGAGCCGGAGAGCAGAGCGCTGCCTCCCAGGCAAAGTACCGTTATACCTGCATTAATGTGCCCTGCGACAAATCCATTAAGACATAAACCTTCCGACCCTTGCTCCAGTGCACTGTGTCCCGGTCAGTGCAGTATTTCACTGCTTCCCCTATACACTTAGAAAAGATGATTTTCAAGGGTTCTTTAGTAAAGGCAATAGAACCCTAAGTTCTATGTAGAACCATTTGCATGCTAAATGGCTCTCTGCATGGTAAAATGCAATTGCAGAGAAATAGAAAAATGCATTGTGGTGCTATAAAGAACCATATACAACATATTCTCCATCAATCTGAAGAACCATTTCACCATGCAAAGAACCATTTTAAGCATGCAAACGGTTCTATATAGAACAGAACCATCTTTTTTAGTGTGTACTCTACAGGGATGGCTATAAAAATGTGATGTTATTTGATTTGTGGCAAAAACTTAAATAACCCAAAACTTAAAGGCATCAAAATAAAACACCAAAACTCCAAACTACTACAACCAAATATACAAATTTACACCCGTGCATGTCCAAAAGAGTAAAAGATCCATAGCACATAATTCGGGTTGGCAATATGGCAAAAATATAATATTATGATACTTAGACATTTTCATGATTCAGGATAAGAAGCACAATATTTAGTGTTTCTTCGGTTTGCTAAGTTTAAACGGAAAAAAATAACCTTAATAAATAATACTTTTAAAAACTATGAGTACAGTGAATTTTATTCAAAGTTTTATACCACTGCACTTCATTAAATCCAGGTAAACAGGACTAATTATGCTCTGTTTGCAATGAAACATTAAGTTCATAAGTTATTCAGTGTTCTTTCAGTACTGATGAGATCCTCAATACGCTCAGAAAAGCATCTGTAATGTTATGTAATTTATCACAATAATGCTAAATATTGGGATACACTTCATATTGCCCACCTCTGTATGTAAACATCTTCACATTATGTATTAACCCAATGCACTTTTAATGAGGTTTTATAGAATATACACTCTATGGAATATATACTCTGTCCTGGGAAGCTCCCTAGACCCAGTGCAGATGGTGGGAGACAGGAGGATGTTAGCCAGGCTAGCATCCATGCTAGAGAAAGCTACCCCATGCATGAGACCCTTGTAGCACTGGGCTCCTTCAGTAACAGGCTGCTTCACCCCAAGTGTGTGAAGGAGCGCTATCGCAGGTCCTTCCTGCCTGCTGCTGTTAGACTGTACAACCAGCACTGCTCCCAGTAGACCCCCCTCCCCCCCTCATTAGACCTCACGCACCTACAGAACATAAACTGTGAATTCATCACCATTTCCTGTGTGCAATATAATCAATATCCCATGTGCAATTCAGGTAAAATATCCTAACAGTGTAAAGATTTTTTGCTTTTTTATTTGTAATTATTTATATAAGGGGTGGCGCAGTGGGTAGCGCTGTCGCCTCACAGCAAGAATGGCCTGGGTTTGATTCCCGGCTGGGCGGCCATGGTCATTTCTGTGTGGAGTTTGCCTGTTCTCCCCGTGTCTGCGTCAGTTTCCTCCCACAGTCCAGAGACATGCAGTTAGGCCAATTGGACATGCTAAATTGCCCCTAGGTGTGTGAATGTGTCTGTCTGTCTGCCCTGCGAGGGACTGGCGACCTGTCCAGGGTGTATCCTGCCTTCCGCCCAATGACAGCTGGGATAGGCTCCAGCACCCCACTGCAACCCAGAAGGATAAGTGGTTTAGATGATGTATGGAATTATTTATATAGTTAATTTTTGTGAATAGAGTTTATGTGACAGATTTTTTATCTTATTTTTTATCTTATATGTTTTATTTTTAGTGTTATATATATTATCCATACAGTAATTAGTGACAAACTGTAACCGTGTTAAATAATTATCAAGGTTAATTACTTTGTTAATTCTCTTCTTGTTACTTCTTTTCTTCAGTGCCTTGCTGTCCCTTTGCTGCTGTAGCACTGTGAATTTCCCCACGGTGGGGCTAATAAAGGGTTATCTTATCTTACTGCATGAATTCTAAGGCTAAAATAAATCACTTTAAATAATGAAATATAGACAGCACATAATCAGACAACACATACATAAAAAAGGCATGTCAACCATAAATCGCAAAATTTTGTATACACATTTCAAATGTGTATATTTATCATATACACTATATCCAAAAGTTTGTAGACACCTGCTCGTCCAGCATTTCTTCTAAAGGCATTAACAGGGAGTTTGTCCTCCCTTCCCTGCAGTAACATCATGTACTCTTCTGGGGAGGCTTTACACTAGATGTAAGAACATTGCTGTGAGGATTTGATTGCATTCAGCCACAAGAGCCTCATGCACTGCTGGGTCCGGTCCACTTGTACCAGCACAACACACATTAACACACCACCACCACATCAGGGTCACTGTAGTGATGAGAATAATGCACCACCCGGATAACACCTGTGGGGGTCCTGACTGACTATTAAAGAACATGGTGAAAGGGGGCTAACAAAGTATGCAGAGAAACAGATGGACTACAGTCTGTAATTGTAGAGCTACAAAGTGCTCCTACATGATAAGTGGAGCTGATAAAATGCAGTGTAGCTATAAGGAGGTGTACTTAATGAAGAGGCTGGTCGTTGTATAGTGTATTTTAAATATGTGCCTGCTCTTTCAACCTCATACACTGTTTGACAATGAGCTAATAAGCTCAATCAGCTGTGTTGGAGAAGGTAAAACCAACAAAAATCTGTAGTGCAGAGGGACAGACACTGACCTCAGTGAATATTCCATGCATTGGAGAATGAAGCACACGTTTGCATAAGACAAAAAAACTTTAATATTTATTAAAAACAAACTTTTTACACTCCCATCCTAGTCACTGGTGTCTTTTTCAAGAATATTGCAAACTGAAGTATACAGCAAAATATTTACATTTAGATTAATTCGATTTAGAGTCTTCAAAAAAGTGAATGAAATTGCTTAGTATACATATTTTTAGTTAACCAGGCAAGTCATGATTTTAAAATGAAAATGTGTGAAATGATCTCCAATATCATCCAAAAGCTGGAAGCAACAACGGTGACAGTCCCAGTGGGTTTGTACCACAATATGGAAACAACATAAAATCTACAACCAAAAGAACATTGATTTTATTTGCCTTGGCATTTCTGAATATTTAACTTTGTTTACTTCAGTTCTACATTAAATGCCTCTGCTCTACCTACCTTTGGATAAAGATATGGATTTTACCACAAGGCCAGCAAAATGTAGGTGTAAATTCATGAGCGGAAATACAACACAGACGTTTATTTTCTCTTACAAAACTGTTCAGGAACGTACAGTAAGCAAAGTAAACATTCAGTGACCTTCTCAGAGGTCACTTGTGTTGCATTCTACATAGAAAAAACAATTCTATCTGTGATGCTACCCATGCAGCCGTGCTGTTGATTCTAAGACGGACAAAGTGGCCTACAAATCGGAGCAGCTTTCAGTTCAGTCTGGTCCTGAGACGAGCATGGCAGCATTTGGCGACAAGGTCAGAGCTTTGAACCCAATTTAAAAAGGAGGGGAAGCTCCTGATTGCTTTAGTAGTAACACACTCTTCAACACGAGCAGGCTTCCCTGCAGAGGCCGGCTCAAGCTGGTTAAAAGGGAATTCCATCCATTTTTTTAAACTTCAGCATAATTAAATGGTTAAGATGTAAACAAAGTCATTCAGAGTGGTTTGATGTGAAATGTGGCATTGTAGAACAACTTACTGAGTCAGAATTGTTCACAGTGGTGGTGATAGGAACCAGACGTCTGAGGAGTTTAATGTCTTTAAAAGCTCCCTCACAGAAAGTCATTAAAAACATAGTTACGACTACACTGTTAGAAATAAAGGTTCTGTGCAGGTACATTTTTCGTTCATCAAGGTACAAACAATGTAAATGTGCCCTCAAAGGTACAGCACTGGTTTATATAGGGTTTTCCAGGTGAAAAGTACATATTTGTATGGGGTGTGTGGAGTCAATACAGCTTAGAAAATATAATTTCAATGGATTATGGTGCAATTATGTTCCCTGACTAAAGATGTACCCTTGAGGGTCCCACCCCAGTGACAGTCTAGTACACTGCCTGATGTCTGACACTTTGAGATAAAGTTTCGGCCTAAAACATCTTTTTTAAAATCCATTCATGGTGGAGAGGTACATGCAGGACATTGTAAGGTAAAATATTCGCCAAAGAAAACTTTTTTTTCCAGCAACATTACATATAAAAACTCAGAGGACACAAGTAGGATCACTGGTCAGTTTGGAAAGTAAATAAAATGGCTATATGTGTGTCGTAGACATTGCAACCATCCTGTCACCACCAGTATAAAGAACTGAGTCTGTCACTTTCTCTACAGTGAACCATTTCAAATCGAACCACTCAAAATAACTTTGTTTCCAACTCAATTAGGCTGAAATTTAGAAAAAATGGATTTCCCCTTTAAGCAGTAGCTGGTCAACCAGCACAGGGTACATTACCATTTGTGTATGATGATTTAGCTGGTCTACCAGCATGACCTGCTCTGACCAAGCTGGTTTGTTATCCTAGTTCAGCACAATGTCTAACTGGTCAACCACCTTTATGATCTTCATCAGCAAGAATCAGGCAAATGGCCAATAAAGGCCATCTGAAACCAGCTAAGACCAGCTATCAACATTAACCTTTTTTCAGCAGGGTTGGTAGGAGCGGAGTATTATATTTCCCAGACAAGCTAACCGCTCTTGCTTTACTACTGGCTCAGTTTACAGAATGGATCATAAGAACAGGGCACTCATATAGGAGCTTAGCAGAAACGCAACGCTAACAAGTACCCGCATGCATCTGAATAGGACAGTTAAAGTTATAAAACAGCAAGAACACTATCAAAAAAGCAGAACATTTCACTGATCTGGATTAGCCAGCAATCCTGACATTTTTTGCGGTGTTTCAACATTATAGAAAGTACAATCCGGCCGTGAGATAATACACAGACACACGTTGCACTAGACTGAATGTGGTTTCCATGTATAGCTAAAGCTAAGTGTGTTGTTTTCACTTCCTGTTGCTGCTAGGCACGATGGTTAACAGTTGGCATCCTGGTTTGATTACACCATACAGTAAGTCTCACATAGCATTCAATAAGCAACAGTGGAGAGAAATAGGGAACAATGCTAATTTATAACAGGGTTCTCTTGATTCAGCAGTTGAGCCTTTCGGTCAACCTAATAGTGAACCCAATACTATGACATCCTCTGCCCAGTGACCTGGGTAAATGGCCATTTGCAATGGTGAATATTGAACACTGAGACACAAATAAGCAACAGTCAAATCCTGCCACATAAATTGCTCCGGGCAGTCAGCGTTTGCATACATCCGCCATGCTGTTTTGATTTGATATGGAGCAGCTTCTCCAAAGGCTTAAGCGCCTTCTAGTGGACACTGTCAGAAAAAGCAGCAGGGATTTTACAGTCATGAAAGAACAGTCGTCTGAAAGCTCCAATGGCAGCTGCCACTGGCAGAATGATATCGTAGAAGTACCATGGCTGTTACCACACAGCTTTTCTGTGTCTAAAGGCCAGAGCACACCGACCGAGCATTCTGCAATAAACCAAAACACTGTAATGGGTGCAGACGTCTTCAAAATGTCCAGAACAAGAACAAGAGACATGAACTACAGTGAATTGGGGAGAACTCTGTAGAACAATACAAATTTGGGAAGACATTGTGAATGGAGGGCAAACATTCTAGAACAGTGTAAATGGAGAAAACATTATAGAAATTATAGAAGAGGATTAATAGGGGGCGTTCTAGAAAAGCGATGAGGGAATATTCTAGAGCAGTGTGAATAGGAAAAGACAGAATTCTACAACAGTACAAATGTGGGAGAACATTTAAGAACAGTGTAAATGGGGAAAACAGTCCAGAACAGGAATAATGCCCCCCATTCTAGATAAGCGATGGGGGGGTATAATCTAGAGCAGTGTGAATGGGAAAAGAGCATTCTACAACAGTAGAACATTCTAAAACAATACAAATTGGGAGAACATTGTAGAAGTTTAAATGGGGAAAACATTCTAGAACGGGATTAGCGGGTGGCATTCTAGAAAAGCGATGGGAGAATATTCTAGAGCAGTGTGAAGTCTGCAACAGTATAAATGGGGGAAACGTCTTAGAACAGCATAAATGGGGGAGAACATTGTAGAACAGTGTGAATGGCAGGGATCATTCCAGAACACTGTGAATGTGGGAGAGCATGTTGGAACAGTGCATGGAAAGAACATTCTAGAAAGGTGTGAATGGTGAAAGAATGTTCTAGAAGGTTCCTAACCGTCAGGAACAGGTACGGCTCACCAACCAAGCGTTTCTGGGGTTGGTCTGCTCTGGCCTTTGGACAGCGTGGAGCGCGGAATGTGAGTTAAAGAATTTCATCACTGTATAAATGAAGGCCTGTCAGATCTGATCTATCCTGCACATACAGGCTGTTCTTGGTGAAATTTCATTTTCCTACTGTTTCTGTTGCCTGAAAATAGATACCCACTGGCCGCCTATATCATGATCAAAGTTCTTTCAAACTGATTAGGCTATAACTAGCATTGTTTAGGTGATGTCTGGCCCAAACATACGTTCCACAGTCTATGACTGACAGACTATTTGTCGGGTTAATAAATGTCATTTTCTCATTTCCAGTGTTTCCAAGAACAGCTCCTATGTGTGCTGTTCTCTCACATCATGTCTGTGTGACACTGTTTATGGCATCTGGAGGCGGAGGCAGTGAAAAAAGCAGCACTAAACACAGGCGGTGTTTTCTCTACACACAGCTGAAAATGTGACCTTGTGTCGGACGCTGAAAGCGCACACTCTGCACTGTCCTGTTTCCTGCCACAGCAGTCGACTGAGAACGTTTTTTTTTTTTGGCTTTTCTGCTTTAGAAAAGAGAAAGTACAGGATTTAACAACGCATAGTATTTCGTATAGTGATAACACCGAGCTCAGGGAAGAATATAATACGTAAGATTTGGTTGAATGTTTTCTTTAGAGATAGCATTTCTTACCTATTTCTTAATTACTATGCAAATCTGTATGACAAAATATTAAGCACATCAACCATTCATCAAATAGTATCTATTTTCTCTAAACATAGTCATCTTGATTGTAATTTGCATAGAAATCTTTTTTTTTTTCCTTTTGTACAAAGAGTTATTGAAAAGATCCTGACTGATTAAAAGGACGCTGGAGCTGAATACTTGATTTAGAGACTCTATAGGAAAAACCCTGAAGCTTAATACTGATTTCATAATCAAGAGATCTATAGTCAAACCAAAGTGACGTTAGTACAAACGTAAAGAAATCATCAAATGTACAGTACATGGTTTAAAAAGGAAATGTGCTACCTTGTTAAGGGCATCAGGTTTATGCCTTCTCCATCATGTGCATCTAACAAAATTTGGTGTTAAAAAGGAAAACTAACTCAGACAATATGGGGTAATGAAGAAAACCGTGTCCATTTCAGTTCATTCTCCCCCGAAACTGTGATTTGTAAGGGGAGGACTGTGTGTTTGTATCAGAACTGCTGGGACTGGTTAGGACTGTGTAGTCTAGGCAAAATTAGGCAAAACAAGCTCTTTTCATGGTGCCGTTCCATACAGCTGGTGGTTATGCAGTCTTTGTCCATGCGTTAGACCAGCGTGCCTGGACTGGGTCTGTCATTATTTGTTTCTTTCAGAGTCAAATCCTGCATTTTGGATGGGAAGGTGTCTTGATAAGGAGAGAGATCCACTGACCTACAGGGAAAAAAACATGAAAGAGGTCAAAATGACCCTTTATTACACAAAGGAAAAAACACTTTCTCTGTTCAAACACACCCAGGACTCGGTAATTAGCTGATTATTTGGATCAGGTGTATTAGAACACTGAAAGTACTAGGAGTATATAGACGGCCCATTATACAATATTATCAGGATACTTGTAAACCTTTGTGATATCTTAGGTATTGCCATATTATATATAGCAATACAGCTAGGCTCTATCTGTGTTCAGTGCAGTTTTGAGATACTGAGGGTCAAAGATTTCACTTTCAAAATAACAGCACTTTTATGTAGTACAATCACCTTCCATATCTTAATAAGTTTCAGAGAAGGCCTAAAAATTTTTCGTTTCTAGTTTTGTTTGGAAAGAAAGGGGTTAAATACTTGAAACGGCCAGCAGAAAACTGGCCAACCACCAAGAGCTGAAGCAAAGTTCTTGTGCCTTAAATTAACTCTCAGCATAAATATGAAGGGACAATGGAATCAGCCAATCACGTTATGATTTCCAATGGCTGGGACCAATTACGTGAGAAAAAAAGTCACTCTAAGCTAAGTTCTAGATACGTCACTGACTGTGAATATGAGGAGCAGCCTAATTAATGGGCTATTAGGAACAAAAAACAGTGCTGGCAGCTCTATAAAAGGCCTCTCTACTGAGGGAGTCACAGTGAAACTGCTGCTTTGACCTTTATATCCTGAAATGAGGGCCTAGCTCTAACAGTCATAGTTCACCGCTGCTTTGTATGGATATAATTTTTTAGTATATTCTACTGATGTTTTTTCTCCCCATCCCTCTTACTCACCGTCCGTGTATTGGATGTCCGTGGAAGGTGGCTGACTGGGGCAGCTGGGGGTAGGCTGTGTCACCCTGGAACGACTGTGGCTGGTGTTTGAGAGGCGGGTGTGGATGTGGCCCATGCAGCGAGGCAGTAGTACGTCTGCGCTGAGATGGCGCCCCCTCCTGGCCTTTCCCTGCACTGACCCCTGTCTGGCCCAAAGCATTGCGCAGATACCAGTCCCTCAGACCCTCTAGTGCGAGAGCCTTGTGGAGGTTGCGGGTGGATTCGTCCGGGACAGGGCCTGTAGAGGGGTCTGCGCTGTACTGGGGGGGTCTGAGAGGTGGCTGGAACTGTCCTGGGGGCTGGTCAGCCTGACTGTAATGCCCCATGCCAGACGTCCCGTTGGTAGTTGGCGTCTCAGCATAGGCTGAAATCAGGACGGTCTCTTGCTGGTGCTGCTGGAGGGGAATGAACGGCCCACAGGATTTGGTGCGGGTCACTTTAACCCGCCGAGGCTCGCCTGGTTTGCCTCGCAGCATCAGAGGGCTGTAGGCCGGGGGTCCAGAGGCCAGGATGAGGGCCTGAGACTGGTGGAAGCCATTCATGTAGGGCGGAGGGGCGCCTGAGGGAGTTTCGGGCCAAGCCCGGGCTTTAATACTGCTCTGAGCCTGCAGTCTCTGCTGAAGAAGCTGCTGTTGTTGGGCTTGCTGCATCTTCTGCTGCTTGCCCCACACATAGTCCAGCAGGATCTCACTGTAGCCTGCACTGGGGCCATTAACCGTACGCCCGCTAGAAACGGAGCGGACCCGGGACAGCTCAGCGTGCCCATTCACCTGCCGCTCAGGGCTGCCCCGTTGTGCCTGCTTCAGACGTCCGTCTGGCAATGCCTCCGAGCTTTTGTATGGCCCATTTCGGACAGGCAGGCCAGACCTTTGACCTCCTTCGTCCATAATGGTGTTGGTATTGCGGTCCAGGAGTGCCTCAGAGCTGTTGCTGCGGCGTGTTTGGGTGCTGTAAGTGCAGCCATTCTGCTCATAGGACCCTGGGGAAGACCCCTCCTGAGTTGGGACAAGTGCCGACTGAGGCACCTCTGGATTGTCTGGCCACTGCTTTGTTCCCGCTGTGCCGCTGGAGGATTCGGACCTGGTGAACATCAGAATCACAGAGAAAGATTAAGAGTTAACTCTTCTTCCTTAATATCATGATTTCTCAATGCTGCTGTTACATTTATTTTGATATGTATAGAACATGATCATTCAATATTAATTAATAATAAAATCAATAATAATCATTTCTATATTCTGAATGTGTGCTCATGCTTGATCAGAAGCTATTGCAATGCATCCTACAATAAAGGCAGCATGGAGCTTATTTTATACAGTGATAGTATTAGACTAACTATTATTTTCCAAACTTGGTTAGATCTGTGTGAACTAGGGACGGACCATACGGCAAAAAATACTATGATATGCATTACAATATTTCATTTTTCTGAGGTTGGATAAGCTGGAACAGACAAAAAGAAGTGCCACATTTAAAATATTACCAAAATGTATAAATACAGTCATTTTTTAAACATTTTTCATCTACCGCAGTGCACTGAGATAAACAGGCTTACAGTTAGGCTTGTAGTTCTTACAGTGTTCTTTAAATTCTGATGATATCCATGACATACTCAGAATAGCACACTGTGACAAAATGTGATTTTATTTATCATAATAACAATAAATCTAATCATAATGCATGCCTCCAATGTCAATTCAACATTATTAACCCATTGTGGCATTTACATGGCGATAGACAGTGGACAAATGTGATGTTCCACTGTTTTCAAGCAACGGAAAATTCTATCACATCTGCTGAATGTAAAATGCACTGAATAATATATACAACTGTATTTAGAGATATTATGAAAAGCTTTTTGAATTTGAAGGCATTTATTCAGGCCCTGGACAGCAACTGTGGCCCCATTATGGCCCCACCTAAAAAAAAACCTAGAACCGCCACTGAGTAACGCCAGTGATTATACTGTATATAAGAGATATTGGGGGCAGGTAATGGTTCAGGCACAGCTAAGTGCTATTTTATGCCTCTCTATCCTCTGTTTAAATAGCTGAAGCATCGCCTCCTCCCAGAGCTCTGCAGCACAATACGCTGGTCTGTGTGTGTAATTGAATTCAGATGAAAATAAAGGGCTGTAGGAAACACGCAAGCATCACATCCATTAGTGCATTACATGTTCATTAAGGGCAGGATAACTTAATCCAAACGTTTAGGCTATTATCAATTCTGGAGTCATTATCTATTATCCAACTCATTACCCAAAGCGCAGAGGACAGCAGCAAAAAGCCCAGAGGACATATATATGAAGTCAGGCATGTATGTAAAATTATTAGCCTGTAGATTAAAAATGACAATTTTATTCAGTTTTTTTAAAAATAAACTTTTGATTAGCTCATTATCATAATTATATCTGATGTGGTTTTTAGTCATTCAAATTCACTAATTACACAACTCCACATGTTTGAAAGAAAAAAAAGTTCAGAGCGTTTAATAGAAACAGTGCTGCCGCTCAGTGAGTGTGTGGGAGAGGGGCGTACCTGATGTGCACACCGTTGGGGCCGTTGCGGGTCAGCAGGGGCGTGGCAGGGACACTTCTGCCCTCTAGATTGGACATACTCCTCGGGAGAGAACGACTCGGGCTGGAAAACAAATGCAAAGCTCAATTTATCTAATTTATATCATGCAATACACATAAACGGTAATCATATTACTCACCATATCAAAGCACTTCATCATTCATATACCATCATTTTTTGTTATTCAGTCATTAAAGGTGCAATGTGTGAGATTCAGGGGGGTCTATTAGCAGAAATTGAATATAGTACACAAAACCATGTTTTCATTAGTCACCTGTATCCATGAATCGTTGATCATTCATTGAATGTGTTCAATGAATTATATTCATTGAATTCATTAATCACCTCTATCCATGAATCGCTGATCATATAGTTAGTTGAAATCTGCAACCTCACCACTATATGTCACTAAATCTTACACACTGCACCTTTAAATTTTTTGCATTCATCTACAAGTGTATTCTCCTGTTATTAATCTTGACATATATTATTTAGTAAACACTTTGCATTTATGAGAGTGCAGAATTTAAGTTGGGCCCACGTACAGAGCCTTAAGCCCACCACACACCAGATGCACCTGTAGCAGATACAGTACAAAGCATAGCTATACCAAATAGAAGCGCCGCAGTGAGAACACCAATAAATGACATGCTCAAGTTCATTTTTACACTATATTCGTATAAATTTAGCTGAATAACATTTTCAACATCATTTATAAACAACAAATTTCCAACAACATTTACTTTCTGTGCAGTGGCATTTATAGCCAGTTTATTACAAGGGCAAAAGTATCTGTTACTGTCTTTTAATATACTTTTCTACTTTAATGAAATTTTTTAGTGCTGCTGTTGAATTTTATGTGTAAGAAACATGATCAATAAATAATAAAGTCAACAATAAGCATTTCTGAATTCCACACTGAATGCAGGCAGCATGGGGCTTCTTTTATACAGTGACAGGAAACACAGAAAGCTCCAGTTCCATGTGCTGATCCATTTTACTGACCAATGTGGACATGCACGGCATGGTGTCGCAGCAATGGCAAACATGCATCACCACCGAATGTCAGTGCCGGTGTGTGGACCTTCATTAAAAACAATGGTTCCAGATTTTTGGACGCTGCTTATCTGGTGTGTGTTGGCCTTTAGGGTCCAGATTAAGCTTAAGTGTAGACTAAAAATGAATTTCCAATGGTGATTTGCCATCAATCCTGTAATTCAGTCCAAGACCAGACTTAATCTATATCTGCAAAACCAACCGTTTTAGGGGTTAAATAAAATGACATCCTTATTTCCTTCTGACATTTAACAGGTATTTGGATAATCAATGCAAGTTTACAGTTGAATGTGAAGGAATTGGAAAAACTGCCATGTGTGTTTGAACTCAAAATTAAATCGCTGTAATGACTTTAATTATGCCACATCTTTCCATTATATGAATCACCAAATACAGATTTTGTTGCTCAATATAAAATGCAATTGTGAATAACGTCAACATGTTTGCAGTTCATAAGTTTGTAATGACCCCCGCGGTTTGTTTTTGAGTGTATCTGTATGTGCGCTAGATACCTGGCTGAACTGGCCACAGAGTTGCGTCGTGCTCTCATTTCATAATAGATCTCCACAGGGGACAGTTTACGACAGAACCTGCTGTCTGGGCTCCCCGGGACCAGCCGGGGACGAGAGGGGGACAAGCCATCAGAGGTGTCCTCTAAAGAGACAGAAGGAAAAAAAAGCATGCAAGAGAGAGAGGGAGAGCAGGAGAGCGGGAGAGGGAGAGCGGGAGAGGGAGGGAGGGAGGGAGAAAGAGATTTATAGTATCACGAGTATTAGTTACAAATAATCTTCATTTCAGAAGCTCACCATTCACATTCAAATGTACTAGAATTAACTCCCACCATAACTCACCGTTCTCCTGGCTGGTGGAGTCTGACGTGGAGCTGCTCTCTGACTTCACTGTGTTGTCTGTAAACACACAAACAACAAAGCATTACGTAATCACACCAACAGACATCTAATACAAAGCCACTCTGTTATTTAGCCATTCTATACTGTTAAAGCTATACAGAGGAAATTAAGGAAATGGCGCCTTCACGCTCCTCTGTGTGTCTGTACGCCTATTGTGTATAGCTTTTTGTGTATTTTTCATATTCCTGTTTGGTAAGTGAGATTGATTTTAGGGTTACCTTTATGGTCATGTTGAGAAAATACTTATTACATATAATTACTTATATATAAAGTATATGGGATATATTATTATTACATATAGGTACTTATATATAGGACTATGCAAAGGTCAGAGACAGTCCTTTGATTTATTCTATTTCCAGTTAAAATGGCCATTAAGTTATTTATTTTCCAGCAACAGGAAATAAAGCAGAAAACATCTATTTAAAAAAAAAATACAGAAAAGCATCAACCCCTATTTTTCCGTATTTAATTTGTTTTTCAGTATTTTACTTGTGTTCACTATAGTGCCACTTCATCTGTTCAATACTTATATAGAGAAAACAACCGTGCAAAACCTGGTGGACACCAAAACTGCCCCCATCAGATAAACAGCACTTAAAGCTTTCATCTCTGAGAGAGAGGAGAAAATCAAGCTGCTTCAGATCTGAAAACATCCACAGGTGTTTCTGTCCATCCTTCCACTGTGAGAAGACGACTCAGCGCCGTGGGTCTGAAAGGATGTGTAGCTGTCAAGAAGAACCTCACTGAGAGGTTATATATATATATATATATATATATATATATATATTTATATGTACTATTCTGGGTAGTAATAACTTGTACTTAATGTTTGCTTTGACTCAAAAATCAGATAAAGGTCTGTACTGTATATAATATATATGGGACATATTACTATTTACTATTATATATAGGTACCTACAAATATACATAATATATATGGAACATGTGTATGATCTCATATCCTGACAAATGTGTGTGTGTGTGTGTGTGTGAGAGTGTGTGTGAGTGTGTGAGAGTGTGTGTGTGTGTGTGTCAGTGAAACCTTATGTCAGAAATAATGGAAGGAAACAGTCCAGTTACTCAACACTTCCTCTACTGTACATACTTCCTGAGGCAGACCTTTTCCAGGGTGTGTGAGGGAACCATTTCCCCCCAAAATGAATTTTACACCACACACACACTTCCATACATTCCCACGGTCCAGGCCGGCTTCCCTACCTAAAGTGGCCTGACCCGTGTTAAACTGTGCTCTGACCTCTCTCTCACTGTCGCTCTTTCTCAGCCACTGTAAGGCTGAGTCTAATCTCTGTAAGCTTAACTCAGACTGTTCACTGAGAGAGAGCGCGGATCAAAGCTAAGCCAGTCTGGAGCCGAGCCCGAACGCAGCGAGCCGTTCCGCTGCAGTCTGACAGCTGTTCTGGGGTCAGTCGTATGCAGTCGTAGGGAGTGTATGGGTGTGTGTGTGTGTGTGTGTAAGCTTTAGGGCATCTCCCATGAGCTGTTTATGTGCTTGAGAAAGGTCAGTGAAAACAATAGATGCACAATGTTACATAACGATGTTAGAAGTCCTTGAAGTTCCTGTTATGTTTCTGTTCTATGTTTCTCCATGTACGTTCTTCACAGTGTTGAGGATATTTTTATCTAAAGGCCTTATCGAGCGTGTTTTTGGCAATAGGTTAAATAATTCCATATGCGATATTACCCAGTTAAATAAAATAGTCCGAATAAGGAAAACCTTCAGATGGGACTTGAAATGCAGATGTTTTGTTACATAATGGAATGAATCAATACTGAGTAAAATCTCCTAAAGCCCATGACGTGAGAAAAACCTTCTCGTATGCGAGTTGTAGGAGGCAATATTATTACGAAGCCCTTTAAAGGAATGGTTTGAAAAGCCGGCTAATAATAAATGACAGCCACTAATTAGCACTATGCACATTACACCACGCTGACTGGTGCAAGCTTTGATTAACAAGTTTCAGCAGAATTAAGCTCACCAGTATGACATCCTCTGTGGACCGTCCTCTTTCCATGTGTTGGCTGTTGCTCTGCATCCGTGTGCCTGCGGAGGGCGCCACTGAACAGAGGTTTCTTCGTCTTCCTCTGAGATGCATCATCCTCCTAAATCACAATCAGCGTAAATCAGTCAGAATTTATAAGAAGAAAAAACATATCGATGTTGTCGAAACAGAACCTCGTAACTCCAGAATGGTAACTTTACAAGAGAAGGAAAAAATATACTTTACTTTTAATGTAAGTCAATGGAACCAGAGTATTTTCCAAGTAATTCTGGGCCATTTTTTTGGGCCATTCATCATGAAATTTACACACAATGTAAAGAACCACAGGTATTTTCAAATTATTTCAAAAACTGAAAAACGGCAAAAATGGACATACGAGGTTTTGACCCGACAGCAGCGACATGTAAACATCTAATTAATCCCCTGTTAGACTTTTAGAACTTCATTAAGTCCACATACCTCACTTTTTGGGTTGTACTTGGACCCGCTGCGTGGCAAACCAACTCTGCGCCGCACATGGGGGAGTTTTTCTCCCGCCTCGAGAGGAAACTCACTCGGAACCTCTCCTGTCAATTCCTGCGGCGCCAAAGTAAAACAAATGCGTCATACAACACAATTCTTCACACAATAGGTGACGCATACTACTGTGACTCAAAATATAACTGAAATGTATCTGGTTAATTGCTTATGAAGCAACTTAAAAACAGTAGAGCACTGTGTAAAAGACAGAGGCCACTTATTTATTTAGGCCCAATTCCATTTCACCCCTCGCCCCCACCACTTAGCCCTTACCCTTCCATTTTGTGCGTTCATGCCTAGGGGTAGGGTGTCCTGACTTTTGTTGAGATAGAGGAGTAGGGTGAAGTGCTAGGGCTACACGATCCTCCAAATGGAGGTTTTTCAGAGGCTCCAAACAGAGCGTTATGAGAAAAAAACTAAAACTGGCAAGATGGCTGAGTGAGCGACTAAAGACACCCACAAATGTGAGAATTTCCTCTGTTAAAAAATTACGATAATCATTGAATTCTCTTAGTTTAATGCCGTTTCAGTGTACTATGGTCCTTTTCTTTATAACGAGCATAGAAATCACTAGTAGTGTGCTGATGTCTCGGTAGCTAGCAAGCAAAATTTCCTGTTTCACCTCAAATAGTTCTGACGCCTGAAGCACCAGAATGTACCTGCTGCTCCATTTAAGGCGGAACAGGAAAATTCAAACAAGAAGCTGGTGAATATCTGACTTCAGCTTCATATCACCAAAGAATTAGGGGTGGGCAATAATGAATAATTATCGCATCCCCCCTCTTTGAAGGCATATGATGCCCTAAATGTAACTAAAGCCCAGCAGTGAGGAGCTGAACTTTACCCTCCTCTGCTATCACTGCAGACTGGCAGGGTCGCCTACAGAGCAGCGCTAGTAGCTGTTAATGAATTAATGTTCTTGTTATTTGAGGGTCCCATTTCATAGGGAAGATTTCAACCACTACCCCTTGTAACTCCAAGGGGCAAGGGGACACTCGAAAACAAGGGGAAGGGGTAAAAATAAGAAACAAGACTGGGCCTTAATTTCTAGTCATAATGGCCATTAAGTAATTCATTTTCAGCATTAGAGAAAATTTAGAAAACATTTAATAGAAAACTACACAGAGGCATCAGCAGCTAAATATCATAAAACTAAATATGAATGAAATGAAATAAAATGTTTTTTCGCTTATTTTCCTTTGACTTTTCTCTTCAGTATCCAAGTCGATTATCTTCTATCTAATCTCCTCAGAAATATCTCCTGATAAATGAATCATTTGTACTTAATGGCTGTTTTGCCTGGAAATTAAATAAATTAATGGTGCTTTCTGACTTCGGCACAGTACTGTAAGTTGTATATTTTGAGCCTTAGCAACAGTAAAAAGCCTGAAAAGCCTGGCCAGGAGCATTATGTGTGATGGTTTACACTCTGTTGATTGCCTGGAGGAAGCACAGTGGGATTACAGCACTTATGGCCAGTTATCCACCTCGCACAGCGCAGGTGTTAGCCACAGACAGCAGGCCACAGCACGAGAGTGGGTATGAGTGTCCAATCGCTGCAAGGCGCGAGTGTGATAATGAGGTGTGTTCGTGTGTGTTTTTGGACAGTGGTCACCTCTTCATGCCACTGCAATGTCATCTTGACCTAACAAACAAGTGTTCTATATTTGTGTGTGTGCCACAGTTGACCAATCAAATGTGAGACACTCACAGCCTCCTGCAGGCACACTCGTCTGAGCTCGGCCAGGCGGGTGCTGAGTAAAGCCTGAAGACTCCTGCGTCTCTCCTGCAGCTCCACCATCCGCTCTGCTCGCTGCTTACTGTCCATACAGCCCTGCAGCTCTACACATACACAGGTTTGTTTTTAGGTTAAGACGTGGGGTCATACATACAGCCCCTACGTGTTATACACATATGTATGTATTTATGTGTAATTACAACATGTCCCATATACATTATATACATATATAATGGCTGTCAGAACAAAATCATTTGTTGTTTTTCTTTTTTTATTTACATAAGAGATATAAATATGTGTTTTCCATTGTAAGTCAGCTATTATTGTTTTCAAATAAACACACAGGAGCATTTGTCATGTACATGCACTGAAATATCAAACAACGGTATATAGATAAATATTACAATTTATCAATAAAATGATGCACTTACCAGGTCCAGTGATCAGGTGACCTTTGACCTCCATGTCATGTGTCTCCTGTGTGACCTTGCTGCCTGCTGACTGCGAGTTCACCTGCATGGAGAGAGAGAGAGAGAGAGAGAGAGAGGGAGAGAGAGAGAGAGAGGAACATTTGAGTTTTCGCACATTCTGTAATCTGTACATCATACATATGAAGCATTTTCAGGAAAAATGAAATACAGACCTTTAGGGATTAATGGGTTAATAATTTAATGTTTTAAATTATTAACCCATAAATTATTAAATTATTTATGTATATGTGTACGTATATATATATATATATATATATATATATATATATATATATATATATAATTTACACTTCCAAGGAACATGTAGTGATTTCTTAAGTTATTATTAACCCATTAATCTCTAAAGGTCTTTATGTGGGTCTACATTCCTCACTCCCCTCAGTATGAAACCTGCATATTAGTTTCACTGTAGTTTTTGTATAGTAGGCCATTATTACTGTATATACAATTGAATAATAAGCCTAGAATTTAGGGAGTTAACACATGTAACAAAATATGCAGTATATTCTCAGCTTCAGGTTATATTTCTAATTGATTTGCGACTTTTTTGGAAAGTAACCAAAAACGATTCAGCCTTCAGAGGTTTACAGGGCAAGAGAAAAACAGGGATATTTCAAACCATCCATTATATCAGAGAACGATAAAAGTAACTTACAAGGAGGGGTGGAGCACAATGCAAGCATCTTTAACCCATTAATGTCCATAAAAATACAGGGAAAAAAGGAAACCACATTTTCAATGCGGTGAATTTTAACCATATAAAATAAACACACATATTTAGGTGTATATAAGTAAATGTTTGTTAACAATTCTTCTGTTACCACAAACTATTATTATTATTAATATTATTATTATTATTGTTGTTGTTGTTGTCATCATTCTTTTTTATTAGTAGTAGTAGTAGCAATACTATATACATATCATGATCAATGAATATTTTAGTGTTCAACTAAATCAAGTAAACTTACATTTAAAATTCAGAATTATATAGGACTCTTATTTTGAACACAAGCAAAGTTATTGTGAGAGAAATGCAAAAGAGAGCGGTTAAGTCTGCATTGGACTCATTTGATAATTTCATTTCTTCATTCTCACAAGCTGTATCTACTACTAAGTCAGGTCTGAATCCACAAAGGCCGATTTAAGTAACTATTGGTCTGAATTGGAATAACAGCTAAGTTAGTTATGTCTAAATTACAGTCAGTGTGCAGCTTTCATGCTGTGTCAGGGATTCATTTGAATGGTTCCCTCTTGTATGCAGCACTTTATTATTGTTTTTAACTTTGTAAACATCAGTCTAAACTGATTTTACATAGCCTGCATTTGGAAACCAGCCACAGTGTCTGGAAGATGAAGCAAATCTACTCATCAGATGTAAATATTTAGGTCAGATTTGGGTTGGATTTAAGGATAAACTATAAGTATGTGAAACTCTTTATTGATCCCAGGTGGGAGACTTAGGCGATAAGAGCAGCATGGCATACGGCAATAAGTGGACATTATAAAAAGAGAAATAAAAACCTAAATCAAATGAGAATATGCAGATATACAGACAGTGCAAAAATATATTAGCTGTGCAGATTAAAGGATGTACAAATATACACATCTACAGATCTCGAATGTCTTGTGCGATGTCTATGCAAGAGACAGAAAACTGGATAAGAGCAATTGTAAACACTGTATAACAGGACTGGGCAAATGTTTCAATGGACTATATGAAGCTTTCTAGCATGCTGGCGTGTCTGGCGGTCCGATAGTCTGAGACCCTTGCACAGAAACGAATCTGATGATAGCCCTACTTCCCCATCGTACCTGTGAGCGTCTCACCTTGCGGCTGCGTTCATACGTGCTGCAGAGAGTTGGGCCTGTGGCCATGCAGCTCCTCTAACACAGGGGCTGCAGTAATCCAGTCGGCCTGAGGGGGGAGCCACTGTGCTGCTGGTGCCGAATGCTCTGCAAACTCAATGCCCTGCAACAAACACACCAAAGAGCCAGTGAGTAACACAGTTAGAGCCAACCTACACATAAGGGTCCTGAATGAAAGACTGGCCTTGAAGGGAGATTGATATGTTAGCAAGTGGGTCTTATACAGTTATACTGTCTATAAATGTGATAGCTCAGCTGAGGGGTTATAAGGGCTAACGCTTCAGTGGCATCATAAAGGTAAACAAAGATTACGCAGGTTGTCCAGGTGCAGAAACGAACAGGAGCCTGTTTCATACTTTCTGAGACAGTGAACTCATCACAGGGCGTAACTGCCTCGGAGCATGAAATGTTATTAATGTTACTGAGAACACAAAACTGGCCCTGCTGTTTGGTGCCTGTGATCCACTCAACGCTAATTTAAACACTATTGTTTAAGATTGTGTGAGTAAGATATTGAGATATACAATGCCCACCCATAAGTACTGGCACCCTCAGTGCATATTATTAGAAGAACCAAGGCTATGAATAATTCTTTGCTAGTTTTCAGTTTGATCTTAATATAACCTTTCAGTAAGGCCGAATTGTCCACATCACCTCATCCAGTGAAACAAGAAGTTATGTGTGACAAATTAAAAGTCCCTAAAGCTCAGCTGTCAAAACAAAACCTCGCATCTCCAAAATGGTAACTTTATAGGAGAAGAAAAAAACATACTTCACTGTCAATGAAAGTCAATGGAACCAGAAAGTCATTTTGGGCCGCTTCTTTCGGGCCATTCATCATGAAGTTCACATACAATGTAAAGGGCAACAGGCATTTTCAAATTATGTCAAAAACTGAAAAACGACAAAAATGGAGATACAAGGTTTTGTTCTGACAGCAGTGATATATAAATCGTGAATGAGAGTGAATGGGAACAAAATGGCAAATTTCATAAATGTAGAAGAATTTCTATGGGGTGCCAATAATCGTGGCGTCCTCTACAACTCTAATTCAGATAGATTTAGTCCATATTTGTTCATTTCAAAATTGTAAATTTAGTCCCCATTACTACATTTCATGATTGTTTATGCATCAACATCAGCAAGTATATAAATAAAAGTTGAAGTACAGACATCGACCCACAATTCCCAAACTGGCGCATCCCTGATTATTTTGTTTTATTAAAAAGCAACATAATTTTCATAGCTTTCTGAGCCAACTTTACCAAGAGTGCCAAGGATTCTGGACGATTAGGGTAACAGGGTACAAAATGTTGTATTAGTAATATGTAATATTTTAATACCTCAATAATGTGATGTAGAGCACAGTATACTCTCTCATGTCAAAGTGAGGAAAAGTCCAGATATTTCACTTAAATTAAGTTCATTTAAAATAACGACAGAAATAAATTATGTAACATCATACATAATATAGTTTGTAAGTAACTGGACACCGTTTTTGTCCTGGTAGTCATAAATATGTGATAACAGAAATGAGATCCTCGTAAGTGTTTGAGCTTATTTTCACTTTCTAAAACAAGTGCTCGATCTGCGCCAGAACCAGAAGCAGAGTCCATCCACCTTCACTCATCACCCATGAATGTGTCTATGGGAACGGCGGACAGGAATTGGCGCTCTGAGGACAGGAAAAGGCTCGTAAAAGCAGGAAGTGAGTGAGGGAAGCAGAAATGGGAGGCTCACAGAGAGCTACACAAACAATGCTGAGAGAGAGAGAGAGAGACTCTGACACCAGTGACCCATTCACAGGGCACTAACTCATTTAGACAATCATTCACAAGAACAGAGGCCCTGATCTCGACTTTTACAAAACAATACTAATACTGATATCAACTGGTGTTTTTTTGTCTTTAAAAACTACTAAGCTATTAAAACTGAGTTATTATTGCTAAACTATTTTTTACTTCACATTTACATTTACTGCTTTTGGCAGATGCTCTTATTCAGAGCGACCTACATTTCACACATACAGGCGAATGTAGCGTTAGGAGTCTTGCCCAAGGACTCCTACTGGTGTTGCATGGTGTGTTTAGTGGGAAACTGAACACTTGTCTGCCACATGGAGTGTATCCTAGGGTTTCAGTCATGTTTCTGTTGTGGCTGCCATATTTGAATTTTTATTTTGAAGCTGCAGACAGCCGGTATAACTTTACTCTCTGTTTCTGGAGATTTAAATGACGTTTAAATGGAGAAACATAAGCGTTAAATATCAGACTGAATGTCGTGGGTCGGAAAACGACGTCGTGTTTCGACAGACGTGATTCTGTAAGTTTGCTAGTGCAGTTAGTGCAGAGTTCAGCTCCAGTTCTTGTTGTGGTTTCCCTGGTTAAAATACCTGATATTATCAGCTAATCATCCTTCTTGAGCTGAACGAGGTGAACAGCAGAGAGAAACACTAAACTATACAGTGCGGCTCCAAGCCTGGAGTGAAAACACTGAATTAAGGGGCCGGGTGTCTCTTCATTCTCCGCTTCTGTCGAGTCTTGCAGGTGAATCATTCACAAAGCACTGCAAATTGAAGGCGTTGCGCAGCGCAGCCACTCCCTGATTCGGTCCTCAAAATGGCGGCAACTAAACAGTGTGACGTCACGCGAAACGTGAGCATAGTGTATTTTCAATTGAAGTTCTTCATAAAATTGGGGCCAGTCACAGTCGGGGAAGGTCACAGAACAAACGACACAGTGATAAGGACCAATCACACTCAGATAGAATAAAATATATATATATATATTAAACAGTTGTCTATGGTTGCACAGCTGGTTGCAAATGGGTTATAGGGTGTGTCTCAAAACCTAGTGAGCTACATAGACAGCATTTTACATCACAATATGCGCTCCTGACAAGAAGGCTGTCCCAATTCTTAGATATCTCAAACATGCTGCCTACTGAGGTCTCTCATTTTGGCCCAATATCAAGAGAGCATGTTTCCTTAGCCGCTGGGGCAATCCCGCGATGCAGCTCGGCGCAACTTTTGTTTGAAGATGGCGGGCAGAAGCGCTTCACCAAGCAGCGACATCATCTTCAAATGTAAGTTATTCTGATTTTCTGGGGTATTTATCTGTTTTCTAGTCATAAAGGTGCACAAATAGCTGATACTTTGCGCGTTTGACCACAACTATTGTCCATTTTGCTGTTACATTCATAGCAAATACAATTAAAATCGCTGTATAAACCGCCAGAGCAGATCCATGTAGGCTAAATGTGATTCTGACGGCTGAGGTCAGTAAATGCCGGTCTCGTGCAGTGGGCGGGAACAAGCGGCGACGTCACTGCTGTCTAACTAGAGCATCTCATTTATCTATCTTATAAGGATAGATGACGGTTGGAACGCTGCCTACTTAGACAGCTGCCTATGTAGACAGCGGCTACTCAGAGAGCTCACTGGGTTTTGAGACTGACCCATAGTATCCTTGTATTCACGTGTCAATAACTCTGTAAGTGTGTCCATGGTGTCCTATCATCCATTTTTCCCACCTTTAAGAAAACATTCTCTCTTACTTGAAGCTTGTAGGTAAGTAAGTCGTTTTTTCTATTATATAGATATAGATATGTTTTACAATTTCTGTCCAGTGTTCTATAGCAGAAGATTCAGTCTTATTCACACTTCTTGTTCTTGCTTTTTTGCTTGCTATCAGTTGAAACATCTTCATTTGACGTATACTGACGGCTTTAAGGCAGCCATCAAATGTGGAGTGATTTATTCAGTAACACAGCTTTTTTACTCAACTCTTAACAACTCAAAGGGGCAAAATGCACAAAGTAACACTGTTTAAAACAAAGGAACAGTAACTCTAGTGTAATTCTGACCTAGCCAATTTTATGCTAACGTTAGCCTACATTTGGCCTACTTAACTTTGCCTAATGTTGAAGTTGCACTACAAGTATTTCTGGCTGGATTTGTTAGAACATTCTTTTCATTCTTTTATTTACACTGATATTCAACATTGCATGCTGATACTGATACTGGATGTCGTATCAGTGCTATCTTTACACAAAGCAGTGGAGAATAAAGAGAAACCATCTACCAGAGCAATGTTGTAGTTTATAGTTCTTATCCAGAAGTGCCTCATAGCCACTTCCTGTAAACATGTCCGTCTGCAGACACCACAGGCACCACCATTCCCCCCTGCTCCCGGCTTTCAGTGCCCAAAACAAGCTCCGAACATGGAGCCACTTCTCACGCTCAACCAACACACGGCACTTTCTCCCAAACAGTGATTATCTCTGGAGTAATGCAGTGGACTGTAGGAGAGCCCAGAGCAGCCCGGATCCGTCGGAGCGTGTGAATGAGAAACATCTTCAAAAACTCCTGTCATCAAAATCTGGCACAGACTGAGGGTCTAAATCTTTTTGCCGTTTTGATTCGCATAAATTATTTTGGCAGGATTGAAAAAAATCACTGTAAAATATGTTAACATCACTGTACAGAACAGCCTCTTGTTGCTTATTGCTTTGACGAAACACTGTACTTACTGTATGTATAATTACCACAAACAATTCTTCTGCCAAGAAAAGCAGTCAGTTTAGAGCAGGCCATCCATGGACTGCTAAAGGGGGACATCAACTTTCAGTCATCCATCATTGTATATTGTAGCCATTTTATTAACTTTCTAGTTTCTATAAATGGTTTTATAGTTTTATAGTTTAGCCATATCATGAACATTTCATTACAGCAGTGTTTAAAAGCGGCTTCTTCTTATTAAAGTACCATAATGCTAATTTCTGCTAGCACATCTATGGGATTTTCTGTAATGCTTTATTAGCTTCAAGCTAACAGTGCTACCCATTTGTTTTCCCACAGCGAGTTTAAGGGCGTTTTCACACTAGAGCTTTCTTCCAGACCCAGGTCCGCTCGGTCTGTGAGTCCAGTACGTTTGGTCAAGCGCAAAAGTGGTTTTCAAGCCCGGGAGCGGTCCAGAAAACTGATCTATGGTCCTCCTGGTGGTCTGTTGCGAGTGAAATCCGGACAGGGATGTGAGATTGGGCTTCATACTGGTACCGCATGTGGGGTTGCGTAATCGGTTCATTTTGTCATGTGACTGCTTT